GCCAGCAGGTACGCGAGGCCCGAGGCCGTAGGTCACGAGATGAGAGTGATCCATCCACGAATCGACCGTCGCGTCACACTGACCCTGACCGCTCCATAGGGTAAGGCCATGGAAGACCTCGGGGAGTTCCGCAGCAGGGTGGTTCTTGCTTGATCGACGTAGTCTTACAAAACACGACGTGCCCGAAGTGGTTTACCCCAGGGTTTCTTTTTTTTTGTTTCCGCAGAGATCATCGAGAAGCTGAAGCGACCGCCGCCACTGATCCGGCCGTCGGTGAGCAAGGGGGCGGCGCCCCCGGAGGCCATCAACATCATGCGCCAGTGCTGGGCCGAGCTGCCCGACTCGCGGCCAGACTTCAACGCCGTGCACGACCAGTTCAAAACGCTGAACCACGGGAGGAAGGTCAACTTCGTCGACACCATGTTCCAGCTCCTCGAGAAGTACAGCAACAACCTGGAGGAGCTGATTCGCGAGCGGACCGAGCAGCTGGACTGCGAGAAGAAGAAGACTGAGCAGCTTCTCAACAGGATGTTGCCGAGGTGGGTCGTCGGCTCGTGCGTCGGCCGCACGCTAGGCGCAGTAGTGTCGTCCTTTCTCCTACTTTTCATCTCGGGTCCATTGTGGAATTCTGTCGCAACTGGAACCCCCGCCCCAAAGCCAGCCCCCCTTTTCTTTCAGTCCGGCAACCCTGCTGCATCCGCCGCACACCGGGCTCTCCCTCCCCCTTTGTGGCGCGTCTAGGGATTTTTGTCATACAGAATAATGTGGGGCAGTCTAGGAAGCCCTTCTAGGCCACGACAGGACCGGAGGAAAAGTGGGGGGAGGGAGAAGGGGTGGCGGCGGTCTGTGTTGCCGGAGCGGAATTCAGCAACTTCGTCCGCGCGATATTTTTGACCCAACAGAGACAGAGGGACAGACAGGAGAGGACGGACGGAAAGTAGAATACAATTCTCATGCCGAAATGGAGTGTCATGGGGCGGAGAGTAGTTGGCAAGACTGCGGCGCCAGGAGTGGCCCTGGCGTGGCCCCCGGCGCTGTCTCTCTGTCCAGCTGCGGCCGCGGTGACCTGCTCCGAGCCGCCCGCCCCCCGCGCCTCCCCCCCGGGCCCGTGGGCTCGCTCAAGTCCCTGCACCCGCCACCAGGCCAAGGCAAGAGCCCCGGGTCATCGGGGTCGCTCGCCAGGGCCACGAACAACATCATCGTGGACCCCAAAGCACGCTACAATGTAAGATCTCATGCCCATACAGTTAT